TGCAGAGAACCAGATTTACAGTAATCATCACATAAAAATTTTATTGATGTAGCTTCTCTGAGTACTTATACAATTCCCTCTCTTAACTGTCTCCACATTTATCTGTATTACGCATTGGGAGAAATACTACCAAGTAGAAGCTATATTTAGCCTGCAGCTCAAAACATCTTGTCCACAAGCTGGGAGGGCGGCCTAATAGAGTCAAGAAAAGAATCCAATTCCCACAGACATTCAGATTCCTTAACTACAAAAACATTCTTCCACATCCTGTAGCAGCTTGCCTGCTCCCAGTACTTTCTGCAACAAAGCAGAAACACAAACAATTGATTTTTGCACTGTTAATGAAGCACAGGAAAAAAAAGAACATATCAAGGACGCTTTCAGAATGAGCCCTCACCCATCAGCCTGGAACTGTATGTGTATCCTCTATATTCTGAGCTGAAAAAACACCACCCTTAGCCATGCTAAGAAGGAATCAGACATACTAGGGGAAAGGTACAAGGAGTACATTGGCATCATATACTTAGCCTGAATCTGTTGCTGCTGCTTTCTGGACTCAGACTTCTGTCCTGATGTGCTTGCATTGCAAACCCTGTGCTATGAAGGCACGCACATATAAACCAGTTCTGGTGCTCACTGTGCACCCCCTCTGCCCACACACGGGCCAAGGGGTGCTCTGTTAGGGATCCAGGTCCGAAGACATACATGCGCAACTTCAGCCTATCTGCGGACAATGGCTTGTGGTTTACCTACTGCCCAGGAATTCGGTTTCTGACGTGTTCAAGAACTCGTTTGCTTCTCAAACAGTTCTTTTTCTAAGATGCTGCTAAGCCACCCTTGCCCATGCAACTTTTACCTGTCTCATAAGAATTTTGCTGAGTCGCATACTACCTTGTGAATATATCAGTCTGAATGCTATGATGTGATCTCCTCCGAACAGCCAAGAATAAATGGAATCTTAGTATTCTCACACCAGCAACCAGCAAACACACCGATAAATCATTCTGGTGGCTTGCCTTTTTCAGCGATGACAAGGATACATTAGAGTCGCACAATAGCATTCAGATGGAATGCTATTCATCAGTTCAGGGATGGAATGATGACTGTCTAGTAAATAACAAGCCTACAGCTCCATCTGGTGAGTCAGGTAGCCAGTGACCTTGGCACGCTGGAATGAAAATAAAAAAACACCCAAGCCAACACTTAATTGATTTCCAGGATCTATTTGCAGAATAGCAGAAATTAATAGGACACTAATTCTCACAAACAAATCCTTAGAAGATACCTTTCAGGCCGGTTCTATTTTCAGTTTTACTGATTGGCGAAGCCCAGAAAGTAATCTTAGAAGCCTCTGTGCTATACTAAGTGAGATTCCATTAGGTAGTCCCTCTGTGCTAAAAACATTATAGTGAAAGAGCAGAACTAATTTTAAAAAACGAAGGGAAGAAACCCTGCTTCTAGTTCTAGCATCAGATATTTAATTAGTTCTGGACAACAGAAGACAGCTCAGTGAAAATACTTAAATATTGAAAACAAACATTGCAGATATCCTTTCTGCTGTTCTCCTTTGCTCAGCAGCAAGAAGATACATTTGACACAAGATTGTTTTTCAGCTCAGCAGTGTTCTCATACACAGTGCTTTCCATCTTCGAAGTCATCACCAAGAGAGATACAAGCCACGCATAGCCATGTTGTAGGAAAAAAACATGTCCAATGCTAACACAGGCTCAACACACAAAAATGGAATTACAATAGAACATATTGTGGATGCTAGTCCTGCATTCGGATGCTATTAGTTCTAAGTTTGAAATAACTTTATGAAATGATCACTTTTCAGCAGTGACATATTGCAGCATTCTCGAAGTATCTTCGGGCAGTACTTATGACTCAGAGTAGCATGCTAGATACAACACTTCTCAACATTGTAGTCTCAGCTGCACTACGGAAGGATGAAGAAAGCACTCAGAAAACATTATTTTTGCTTTGAATCTTAATTTTTAGTTATGAACTTCTCTCCTGTACTTACACAAGAGCTGAGAAAGATTTAGTTCAGCATGAGTAGAAGCTGAATTTAGTTTTACATATATAATAATTTTATCTATCTGGACTTTCTTCTTTGTTCCTTGCTATAAAATGCTAATAGCTTCTTGCCTCCACTCTTCCCCCCTCTCCAACTTCACTAACTCTTAAGTACCAAAAACCCAAGCTATTTTTTTCTTGATGGATTTGATGTGGTAGATATCTTTGTTCTATGATAGATGCATATTTTAGAAAGACCCCATCCCTTCTCCAGAGTGCCATCTACACAAAAAGTACCACACTGATATTCAGGATAAACATATTAGTGTTACTCCAGATCACAGTATTTTAGCTATAACCAGGAGGTTTCAACTCCAAAAATGTAGTGTTGCTATTTGCAACAAATAGTTGTTTTAAAAAGTATCTATCTTCCCCAATTAGCATGCTCGTAAAGCACATCTCACAACAAAGGGCAGGTGTGCAGTAATTTCAGACGAAATTCAGGGTGTATTTCTTCCAGTACTTCTTCAATTTCACCTATGCCCAATGTGTATTCATGTGGAAGGAAAGCTCTCATTCCTGTTTTTATACAATATTTCCTTCTACAATCAGAAAGAGAAATTTAGAAGCATACAGCATATCATTATTGATTAGAGGCATACAAGCTCTTCTTGGCCAGTTAAAATAGGTAGAGGAATTTGCAGCATTACTGTACTTAAACAGTAAGATAAGACTAAAAGAGGAGGGCTATGATCCGTTAATAGAGCAGTGGTCTGACATTCTAACTATTTTTAGCCTACTCTAAAAGCAGAGCTAGAAATGGTTTTATTACTGAGTCACCTATCAGTAACTCAAAATAGGATATACTGTCTTAGAGCTCAATTTTTAAGATCAATTTATAGCACTGACTTATTTTTTCTACTCCACCCTCATATTACAAAACATTTGTTAAATCAGTTTTGTTATACTGAGATAAACGGGCCAGAGTACCACTGAGGTTACCGCTAGAAATGAGCAGTGTCCTATGAATTAAAAGAGCATCCTGAATATAAGAACAAATTCCTGTATGTCTTGATTTGTCAGTTTTTCTTGATACTGACAAATACAAAAACATCACCATAAGGCAAACAGACTGTTTTAATAAACCATTCTGGTTTTAATCTGACAACTATTAGCCTTCTTACAATCTGTGGAAGAGTAACAAAAATCTAACGCCTCATGGTTTCTTAGCTCTTTAATAGACTGGTATTTTTGAGTTCTAAGTAACAAGTCAAAGACAAAGTGCATGCACATGAATCTTCATTTTTGTTGTTTTTTTATTTTTTTCTTGTAGTGCAGATAGGTATTATGAATACACGGTGTGAGATGAGATAGGAAAAAAAAAATCTATGCCCAAGGAAAAAAAATTTAAAAGGATGACTTGTAAATAAGACTGCAGTACAAGAAAATCAGTATAGTAGAAAAGTATCCAGTATTCCTATTCCCCAAGCTACACAACATGAAATTAGTAACTATGAATTTTGAATCATAGAATGTCAGAAAGCAAACAGGTATGTAATTAGCCATTGAAATTGACTACTGCTCGTTATTACTGAACCATCCTGAACCAAAGCAAGCACTAAATACTGACTGACTGTAGGGAGGTGGAAGGAAATGCTAGGTAGAGTGTTCCTCAGTTGCCCTTTTAAATTATACAAAAAAGGCTGTTTGATTTGTCAGTTCCCATTCTGTGCAAGAAAACAGACATAAGCCTGGTCTTCAACCAGAATAATCACCTCTGGAGTTCAATTTTAATAAAGTTACCTAGCTATACAGAACTCCTTCTCACCACTCCCACCCCCCCAACCCATACGGTCCCAACAATGAGAAGTAAAACAATGTCCTTTTGTCTTTTTTGATTAGTGAACTGGATATACAAAACTAGATCTGGCCTTACATGTCTTACTAATACAACAGTGTTCCTGTTTAAAATAGCGTTAAGATTTTCAATCGAGAACGACATGAAAGCACAGATAAAAAAGGAACACATACATCTCACATTCTGTTAGTTTAACCAACAATTCCAAGTTTGCAGTGGGAGATCCTCCGCATTAATACAGTGCTGTAACTCACAGGTACACATTTTACACAATCAGACATACTGTAAACAAGGTTCCCTCTCCCAACATTGCAATGACTCATTTCATCTGTATGTCAAACAGAATCAAGACATCATTTATTTTAATTGAAAGGAAACATCTCCTAGTCCGTGTGGTATGTAACAATGCTAATTTCTATTTAATGATACCATACAAGCAATCCAAGAAGTCAAGAGTGTAGTTCTGCAAACTGCTTTGTAAGCACACCTGTGCTGCCCTACTGGAAGTAATCTGCATATGTGCTCATTCCATTCTATGTTAATAAATGGAGACAGTTAAGAAGGGAGAGAGGCACTGTAATTCAATACAAGCCTCAGGAGCCATTATATTCTGATAACTTAGGACTTTATCATACATCCAGTACAAGCACACCTAAATACAGACATTATTTTTTCTTTCCTCAACATTTGCTATTGCCATTTTTTTCTAGTATGACTTCAAAACAAAAATAAGAGAGCATTTAATATCAGACTATTTAATGTCAATCACAACAGAAAGAGGTACAAATATTCTTGCAAATAGTATGCATCAAGATTGAGCTCTGAATGGCTCCACTCTAAACACAACACTGCATACACTTCATTTTACAAGTGGGTGCATCTGTGCATTTGTATATATGCTTCACTCCCTGAAGCTCCTACACTTAAACTTTAGGCACCTGTGTGCATGAAAAAGAAGCTTTAGAAAATACAGTACTTCAATTAAGAGTGAGTGAAGAGATGTGTTGGGGCTCTCAAGAAATGGTGCTTTGGTGGGATACAAGACAAGGTTTAAACGCATCACACTCAACGTCAATGCAAACCACATATGCTACAGTCTGCAGGGGGCTCTGAAATACACGTGAAGACAGCTGTTATCACCGCAGTTACCCCTCTAAAAAAACCTCTTTATTGCAACAGCTCCGAATAGTGACAAAATTTTGCGCCATCTTGAAAGACAGACATAGAGTTTGAGAAAGATACCTTCACTAGACAAGAGCAGGAATTCTGTCTCACATTATGTGATTTGGCTTCGTGGTTGGGGTTTGGGAATCTAAAGCACTTAAGACATCCTCTGATGGTTTGAGAAACTTCAAAAAATAGTATGGTGCTCTATTCTAGGGCTTCAGTTTGCCCTCCTTCACTAATCGCTCATTGAGCTGGCAAAGCTGCCTTAAAAAGCCATCATTGGGGCCAATCTCTCGCCTCTGCCGAACAGTGCTCAATGCAGTCTTGACATCCATATTCTGGCGAAGCATGAGGTAGGCGATGACCAGTGTAGGAGAACGGCTGTAGCCCTCACGGCAATGCACAAACACTTGTCCTGCAGGGAAGACAGGTCATAATTTGGGTTATACTGGAATATACGTTTGAAAAGCAATATGAAATAGCTAGGATATAAAGTGCAACAATATTAGTCCTTCAGCTGCTTGAGAACTGTAAAGTCTGAATGCTACAGAAGACATGTAGAACTTGGAACAAATGTTCTATCACTCTGTTACTAGCTACACAGTCTGTCATCAAGGATAATGCAGAAAAAAATTGTATATCAAACATTCACACTAAAACATATTTGCTACCACATTACGAAGAGTCAAACTGTGTCTATTTACTACACTTCTCCAGTCTGTTGTGGTTTAGAGTAAGCCTGGCCGCTGAAGGTTACCAATACCAAAGAGCACAAATAAGCAAAGCAAAGTTTAAGATACGCTGAAGAGAAATATGCTGCTTGTCATATGGTGCATCACTTCAAAGATATCCATCCTTTCTGCTGCACTGTTGGCAACTCCTATGCTAACTCCACGTTGGATCACAGCTGGCAACTTCTCTGGCTATTTATGAAGCCACATTAACACTCAAGTAAATGAAACTGCTGAGTGTGCCGCAACAAGAACTGGAAATATCTCATCACACCTATGCCAGCACCAATAAAATGTTTCCAGCTAACTGATTAGGGAACCCATTCTGCATATTTGTTGGGTCGTACTGGGTTTGTGTGGCAAAGCTTTGGTAGCGTGGGGAGCTACTGGGGTGGCTTTGGTGAGAGGATGCCAGAAGCTTCCCCCACGTCCAACAGAGCCAGTGCCAGCCAGCTCCAAGACAGACCTGCCACTGGCCAAAGCTGAGCCCATCAGCGACAGCGGTAGTGCCTCTGTGATAACATAGTTAAGAAGGGCAAAAAAACCTGCTGTTCACCAGCAGCTGGGAGACAGGAGTGTGAATATGTGAGAGAAACAACTCTGCAGACACCAAGGTCAGTGAAGAAGAAGGAGGAGGTGCTCCAGCACCAGAGATTCCCCTGCAGCCCGTGGCGAAGACCATGGTGAGGCAGGCTGTGCCCTGCAGCCATGGAGTGTTATGGTGGAGCAGATATCCATCCACCTGCAGCCCAGGGAGGACCCCGTGCCAGAGCAAGTGGATACACCCAGAGGAGTCTGTGACCCCGTGGAGAGCCCACGCTGGAGCAGGTTTGCTGACAGGACTTGTGACCCCGTGGGGGACCCACTTGGGGCCCCGTGGGGGACCCATGCTGGGGCAGTCTGTTCCTGAAGGACTGCACCCCATGGAAAGGAACCACACTGGAGCAGTTAGTGAAGAACTGCAGCCCATGGGAAGAATACATGCTGGAGAAGTTCGTGCATGACTATCTCCTGTGGGTGGGATGCAATGCTGGAGCAGGGGAAGAGTGTGAGGAGGAAGGACTGGCAAAGACAATGTGCTATGAACTGACTGCAGCCCCCATTCCCTGTGCCCTTACGATACTCAGGGAGAGGAGGCAGAAAAAATCAGGAGTGAGGTTGAACCCAGAAAGAAGGGAGGGGTGGGAGAAAGGTGTTTTAAGATTTGGTTTTATTTCTTGTTACCCTACTCTGATTTGATTGGTAATAAATTAAATTAATTTCCCCAAGTCGAGTTTTTTACCCATGATGGTAACCCCTGAGTGATCTCCCTGTCCTCACCTGGACCCACGAGCCTTTTGTTTTACTTTTCTCCCCCTCATCCACCTGAGGAGGGGGAGTGCTAGAGCAGCTTGGTGTGCACGTGGTATCCAGACAAGGTTACCCACTACATGGGCATAAGCGTCCAACAATAATAAAGCAGGCCACTGTTCCCTTTCAAAAATCTATTTTATTGCTTCTCAGCTGCTTCTACTTTGACCTGCTTTTCCAGACACATTTTTCTCTTCCCAAATACAGTAGGACATATGGCCCCAGGCTACTCTCCAGAGTAAAATTTTCAGAGACAAGAGAACAGATGAACTATACACACACATTTTCATCACAACCACAACTTGCTGTGAATCTCAGCAACAGTAAGCCCATTACCACATTTGCCTTGAGCTGCAGAGGCTTCTCAAGGCAAATCTCTAATCAGTAGCAAGTTAAAACAGCTAAAACAATTAATTCTCAATATTTCTTGAGAGCCTGTAGCCACAAATTAGCAAGATTTAGAGATTCTTGATCAAATACGTGGAATGGAAGAGAATTGACTTCCTCTCTGCAAATGGTCAGAAGCAAAAGGGTTTCTAGCCTTCCTCTGTGAAAGGCAGAGTCTTAAGGCTGCCTTCAAGGTCTTTAGTATACCAGACCTGCCTTCCAGAACGTCATGCAACTACAATGCTAAAATTGAATTGAAAGGAAATATTACAGCATCCCTCTTCACTTCATTGTCCTTTCTCTACACTTCAATGTCAAACAAAACCATCAAATTTCAGTAGCGAGTTCATCTTGTAACTGGCTCCAGCACCACCCAGCTACAAAGTTCCTCTTTGCTTACCACAGTAAGAAAACAGTGGCAGGCAACTACTAAGACTGAAACAAGCAGCAAACAAAACTGCTACTGTAAATTCAGATTAACTCTGCAATAGTTTAGATCAAACTGTGTAGGGATAGTCACAGCACAGCTGGCACTGTTAAACTCCCCTTTCCTAACACAACCTGTTTCAGTGAGTCACAGTGCTAACTGGAACAGTTGCATTTAAATTTTTAGAATTTTTCATACTCCACCAAACTGGAGGTAAAGTTTCTTTCCATGTGTCAAAAGCACAGCACGGCTCTAGTACCCCTTTTGCCCATTTCAGAGAAAGAACTTCTAAAATTGTGGGAGTTCTCCTTCCTCCTTTTTCACATTCAGTCGTGAAGCAAGAAAGAAATTAAGCATGTGTAGAAATAACTGGTATGCTGAAATAGCCAGACAAAAACAAATGCCGTCTGGCCCACTGCACTGTGTCCTAGGACTTCTGCTCTGAGGAAACACACTGTAGAGAAATCTGGCAGTCAAGAACATTGCAAATATAATCTTCAGCCTTCCTGCAATCCTAGGGAATAAAGAGGTAATCATTACATAAAATAGTTTAATGACTTAATGTAATAAAAATTATAAGGCTACAGTCTCTATCCTTACTGTACATTTGGAAAAAAATACAGCAGATTGTGTGAGTACTCTTCAGCAATGCATTACTTGTATTACTTCTGCCTTTAATTTATAATTTCTAGTGTCCTAAAATAACTTTCAGATAATGAAATTTTTTTATGTGATTTACCACTTCCAAAAAAAAAAAAAAAAAAAAAAGAACACATCTTTGCAGAAAGGCACTATTATAGGATGCAGCAGCTGTTTCACTTTTTACAGTCACTCCTACAGTGGCACATTTCCATTTGCCGTATACTGGAAACTATGTGTATAGACAGAAGACTAAAATGTCTTATTGTGTATTCTGGTGTCTTTGATCCAGAGCCTTGATCTGAATTCCTGACATGGTTGTTCAGATGATAATCTGACCAAATAACTGATTTAAACAGTAAAATAAATTGATAAGAAACACGCAGTGCACAGACAACACCGTAGAAAGATATTTCGGTTTGCCTTACCATCCTTCTGGGCAAGTGCTTTCTCAATAAAATCAGCTGCCTCCTCAAAATAGCGACTGAGGTTAAATTCTTGTGTATCATTAGCTTTAATGCCATGGTATCTGATGCCTGTGCCTTCATAGAACTCTGCATTAGTGTTCACATGCATGAACGACTTCCCTTCTGCTGCATTCAGAACATGGGTTATCCCCAGACGCTGCAGCCTCATAATGTTCTTGGCTATGAACCTGTATGATAAAAAAGTGCCAAAAAAACTATTAGAACTTGGTGAATCATCTCAGTATTTATGATGGCCCCAGAAGGTATTGATAACCAGAACTTTTGATTTTTCTGTTAATAGATGATAAATTTACTGCAGAAGTGAATTAGCTACAGATTATAAATTCAGAGAAATATTTAGAGCCTTGGTCACCACTTGTGCATGAGAGAACGCTACTTTCTTGGCTGGCAACCAAGCAATGCACATATGAAACTTAATCTGTATGATTCAGTATGAATCTCTGAGTGCATTCACTCACAATTTTCCTGTTATTCAAGGCTATATAAACATATAGATCACTCCTTTTCTCCTAATGACTGTTCACCCCTTGAATTGTAGTGTAAGCAGATGAATCCTTATGCATAAGTTAAGCTTCTACTTTTTCTGCTGTCTGTGCCAAACAACTATGGCAATGACCCAAATATTTGTAAAGACTTCATCACCCAAACAAATGTTGACAGATTTTCCATCTGGCAGGACATCATCTGTGCCAGAGGACAAGTATCAGTGCCTGGGGAAATCCACTTGCAACACAAAAGTAAATCCTACAGTGCAAGGCCAAAGCCAAAACAAAAAGTGTTAATTCAGCTGTAAGCTCCTATGCTTAATGGGGTGAGCATAGCGTTTTAGTATATAGATCAGTATACATTTGATAGTGGTCAGGATCAATAGGAGCTCGTGTCCTGGAATCGTGGTTGAGTCTGGCAACACAGACTGGCTCCCCTGGAGGCAAACTCATTCCCAGTGAATGATTTTTGCAAATATAATAGATTATTTTCTAATACAGCTAGTATTTGTACACCATTTTTCCTCCCTTTCCAAACAGTCTGTGCATCTTTCCTGTCCTTAACATTTCATTCCAGCTGCATCACATTCAGTGTTGAAATGCTAGCCCCTCCAAATAGCAGAGATGCTAAGATCAGCTTCTCCTATTTCCCTAAGAAAAATCACATAATCTTGTCTGTTCACAATATGGAAGATTGAGAGTTCCTTGTCCTGAGTAACACACTAGTAAGAAGTGTTTATTTTGAATAGAGATTAACAATTTTACCAGTCACAAAACGCAGGTCTTAGAGAACCATGCATCAGTAATTAAGGGTACGTGAGGTTATAAAGTATTGCCATATGGGATTATAAGCAAATAAACTAAGATGGACAAAAAGGGGAAAGAGAATCAGCAGGATATGATAGGGCTGGATCAGGTAACTGAAATAATATTCTTGGTGCAAAGAATAAACTTCATACAACTGAGAAAAGAAGTGCTACTGGTGAACCCTGAACACTTTTCCTCATTTAAGGACTTTCATCAGAGCCATACCTGTATCACTCTGGCTCCCATCATGTGCATGAATACTTAATTAGGATGAGATTTTTTTAGAGCTTACAGTGCAGAAATATTCATCTGACCAACCACAGACAGGGGTGGCGACTTCTATTAAAGTCTTGCTTCCTTTAGGTCATTTAGCACATGGTTAAAATGAGATCTCATATCCACATAGCTACTTTGCTCGTTCTTCATGTTCCAGCTTATTCCACTCATCTGACATACGGTTATTACACTGGCGTTGCGATCGGGCTTCCACAGATGATATCGTACATATACCTCACGGCATGTTGTCTCCTTTTTCTGTGTGGATGACCACAACTTGTCAGCAAGAGTCGGCAATATCAGGAGAAAAAAGCAGCCCAGTGCTCACAGAACTGAGCAAGTGTGTTTCATTCTTAAGCAACTTAATCAGTTTTAACCTTGTTTCAGCTCTATTTTAGCTTAGATTTGGGACTTCAGCGGGGTACTGAACATTTTGGCAGATGCCATTTATGAGCTGTGCCTCGTGCCAAGTCCGGCAGCAGCAGGAGGCCCTGCCAGGCTGCTGGGGCCTTGCAGCCACAGGCCTCTCGGCTGACAGCTCCCCTAAGCTCTAGACCCTGGGGCTGTACAGCCCGGGGCCGGGCTCCGGAGGGCCTCCCAGGGCCCGCACAGATCCAGCAGGGCCCGCACAGATCCAGCAGATCCCGCCCTGCAGCCCGGCTTCCTCGGCTCAAACTCCCGCTCAGGAGGCTCCTCGCTGAACGCCCTG